CTCTCTCTCTCTCTCTCTCTCTCTCTCTCTCTCTCTCTCTCTCTCTCTCTCTCTCTCTCTCTCTCCGTCTGTGTGTGTGACACACACACACACACACACACACACACACACACGCGCGCGCACGCGCGCAGGCAGGGCCGCTTCAACAGTTTCATGTGCGCATGAACTGAGCAGCCTTCGAATGTGCAAAATGAGAAGGAGAGCATGGATGCAACCCCATCCTCAATCCCCTCCCTCTCCTTCTCCCCCTGCTCCCACTCCTCCTCCCGCTCCTCCTCCCACTCCTCCTTCTCCTCCCGCTCCTCCACCAAACAACATGACAAAAATCCCATCATAGCCCCGCTCCCGCTCCTTCTCCCGGTCCTCCTCCCTTTTTCCCGCTCCTCCCACTCCTCCTCCTCCTCCTCCCCCTCCCCCTCCCGCTCCTCCTCCGCCAAACAACGTGACAAAGATCCCGCCATAGCCCCGCTCCCGCTCGTTCTCCTGCTGCTCCTCCCTCTCCTCCTCCTCCTCCTTCTCATGCCCTCCCCCCTGCTGCTTGTCCTTCTCCCGCTACTTCCCCTGCTCTTTCCCCCGTTCCTCCTGCCGCTCCTTCTCCCGCTCGTCCTCGTGCTCCTCCCGCTTCTCCTCCTCCACCTATATCTCCTCCCCCTCCTCCACCTCCCGCGCGTTCGTTAACCCCCTCCCAGTTTCCCCTCCCGCTCCCCCTCCCGCTCCTTCTACCGCCCCTCCTCCGGCGCCTCCTCCGCCCCTTCCCGTTTCTTCTCGTGCTCCTTCTCCCGCTCCTAACCCCCTTCCCGTTTCCCCTGCCGCTCCTCCTCCTCCAGCTCCTCTTCCCGCGGGTCCTCCGCCCCTTCACATTTCCCCTCCCGCTCCTTCTCCCACACCTGCTCCCGCTCCTCCTCCCACTCCTCCTTTTCCCACCCCTTTTCCCATCCCTCCTCCCGCTCCTCCCGTTCCTCCAGCTCCTCCTCCCGCTCCTCCTCCGCCAAACAACGTGACAAAGATCCCGCCATAGCCATCTCCTATGAAAAAAAACAAAAGAAAACTGGCCCGCCACGTGGCTAGCCGAGAGAGAGAGAGAGAGAGAGAGAGAGAGAGAGAGAGAGAGAGAGAGAGAGAGAGAG